CAACAAACAAACATACTTCTCTCCATTTACTTATTATCATGTTTCTCACGCTCCCCGTTTTCGCCCTATTCTTTTTCTTTTTGGACACCACAAGTTATTCACACCTAGAAAAATTCCCATTTAAAGCCCGGGTAAACACTTCCATATTTTTATGGTTGTCTCATACATAACGGACTATACATCAAAACTAAAGTATTTACTTTGTACATTCTGTGAAATGACTGTTGTTGAGTAAAATCATTGTTTCATTCCCCTGAACAATGTTGATTCCTCAGTTCTATTAGCCTAACAATCTTTGTTGACAAATATTGTGTTCACGAAGTTGTCAAATTATCGACACGTTGTAAGACAGAAGAAACGTTTTTAAGAGTATTCATCGTATATAAACTCATTATTATATTACTATTATCATGTACATTTCAATATTAAGTAGATGTAGAAGCATGAAAAAAGAATCTAAAATACAAAATAAACAATATTTGAAAAGTATAAATAAAAGGCTAAGCACGTGTATTTGTTTTAAGACTACCAGTCTCTACTATTGTTAACATTGAAAAGTATAAATAAAAGGTTAAGTACGTGTATTTGTTTTAAGGCTACCGGTCTCTACTATTGTTAAGATTGAAAAGTATAAATAAAAGGCTAAGCACGTGTATTTGTTTTTAGACTACCGGTCTCCACTATTGTTAACATTGAAAAGTATAAATAAAAGGCTAAGCACGTGTATTTGTTTTAAGACTACCAGTCTCTACTATTGTTAAGATTGAAAAGTATAAATAAAAGGCTAAGCACGTGTATTTGTTTTAAGACTACCTGTCTCTACTATTGTTAAGATTGAAAAGTATAAATAAAAGGCTAAGCACGTGTATTTGTTTTTAGACTACCGGTCTACACTATTGTTAAGATAACCATTGAGTGCTAATATCTATTTATTTCTATTAAACATATCCCTTTTATCTTATAACGTATATGTTTTTTATCATTTTTACCTAATTTATTCCTTTGATTGTGTTCAGAATTGTTTCGTTGATCTGTAATATCAGTTTGTTGATGTCTTACTGTGTTACTGCATGTTCTGTTTTACATATTATATTGAATTTTGTGATTTTTTTGTCGTATCTTAAAGAAACATTTAAGTCTAAAACATGAAGATGAAGCATCAACACTGCCATCTTGGTTTCAGTTTATATTTGTCAGTTACTTGTGCCATTTAATTGTTCCATATTAACCAAGGCATTGAGGACAGTTACCAAACAAAATCAAGTTTCAATTATTATGATATATAAGATTTTTTTTAGGTCAGTATGAAGATAAGCTATATTAAATCAAGGGGTATTAATCATACATAACGTATATTATACCTTAGGCAGTAAAAAGGCGTAGCTTTAAATCAAAGAGGTATTAAGCATACATTATCGTATATTATACCTAAGGCAGGCAGTAGAAAGACGTAGCTTTAAATCAAAGGGGTATTAATCATACATTATCGTATATTATACCTAAGGCAGTAGAAAGACGTACCTGAGGGTGGCAATTTCCTTTCTGTCGATGTGCTCACAGGATTCTCTTCTGAATTTAAAGACATAAAAATGCGAAGAAAAACTACATGTCAAACAGGTTAGTGACATTCTGATGGACCGGAGTCCAGATGGATATTGCACATTGGTCCCAGCCGAAGAGTTTGGAGGCGGGAAACCGACAGAAACGGAAAATTGGACTTAACAGGATAATAAGAAGGACAGAGAGAGAGAGATAGTGCAACTAAGAAAGCGAGATATGGCAGAATGGTAACTTTAAAGAAATTACACTAATTTAAGACGCCATGTTTTATGGAACACGAATTTACCAGAAATATCATAATATTGAGCAGATATATTTCGCTAGTATCAGTTTTTAAGTTAATTATATCATCGTTTAATGTATATTTTTAATATCATTGTATTTCTCGTCGTGTCTTTCGAGAATATAAAGAAAAAATTAATTTGAAAGCGATATCACACACACATATATAATAAAATATCAAAATGTAGTGATATTTCTCAATAATTATTGATACAAGCATAAAGGCAAAAACATATATATATATATATCATACTAAACAAGTTATATTCGAATACTATTTCTGTTGCTTTTTTTATGTTTATTTGTTTTAGAATAACGCCACATTATGTTCTCTGCTGTGTCCACCTCGGGGGAATCGAACCCCGAATTTCAGCGTTGTCATTCCGTAAACTTAGAGTTGTCCCACCAGGGGGACTTATATTATGAAGCAAGAATGTTAGATTAATACCATGCAAAGTTAAAATAACGGAAGCTAAAAAAAAAGCGTATCAAAATATAAATAAATCTTAAGATTAGTTTTGTTAGAACACCAAAAAAAGAAGAAAAATCTCAATAAAAGATATTAATTAGCATAATTTCTTTTCAGGCACATTGTGCTACTATATTAAGAGTAAAAAAACACAAAACGACGTGTTTTTTCTTCTTTTTTTGTACAATGAAAGGTGAGCCCCGATGATGGTAACGTTGTTATAGAAACTAGACGACTGTAAGCTATAATAAAGATTTTACTTTTCATTGTGTCAAAAACGTCGTTTTTTGGTGTTTTTAACTCTTAATTAATTAGCATTTTGGGAATTTTTATTGTGCTTATCACCAAACGCTGAAGACAGCTATAATCTTTGATAAAGTAACGTTCACAGATTATTACCAAGAAAATTTTTAATAAAGTTGTTTTAATGAGTTTAACATATAAATAAAAAAAAACAGTAGTATTCTTCCATAAAATTAACATATACAGTATCGAAGATTGAGCCTTGGCCTATAACATGTAAATAATTGCTAATAAGATATTCAATAAATATTTAAATCACAGAAAATAATGATTAATTGTTTACAACTAATGAAACTATGAACGACGATTGAAAGATTTAACTTTTCATGCATTTTATTTTAAGAATTTGTAATTTTGAGATAGGGCTAATTGCTACCCTAATAGGCTTAGTAGTGGCTAATCCTAATCTGTTTAGTAGTGGCTAATCCTGATCAGTTTTGTAGTGGCTAATCCTAATCTGTTAATAGTGGTTAATCCTGATCGGTTTAGTAGTGGCTAATCCTAATATGTTTAGTAGTGGCTAATCCTGATCGGTTTAGTAGTGGCTAATTCTAATCGGTTTAGTAGTGGCTAATCCTAATCTGTTTTGTAGTGGCTAATCCTAATCAGGTTAGTAATGACTTACCACCACGGTGATGCGAGTTCAGTCCTTATAGATTTATGTCATGAACTCACAAAAAAATGTTTATTAATGAAATAGTGTCTATGTACAATATTATCAAATCCAAAACATCAGTGTAAGTTGACCACTTAGGGAAAAATGCAACCAATTCACTCATTTAAAGGTTGGTTAGAAAATATTTAGTAAAATTGTCATGTTATTTGACGGGATCGGGAGAATGATCTTTTTGAAATACATTACCACTTTTACACAAACAACCTTTCACTACTCTAGATCCTCAACAAACACCTTCAACTTTAGGGGGGAGAGACTGAGATTGTTAAATATGGTGTAACATATTAAGAAAAAGAATTGTGTGAAATTCTTAGATAAACAGTTTTCAGAAATTACAGAAATAAGAAGTAACGGTGTTTGTCAACCATGATTTTTAATATGTCAATTTTTAATCTATTATGTGATGTTCTGCGTTATTTCGAAGCCGGAGTATTCACACAGTCATAATGATTTTGTATACATTATCTACGCCGCATTAAAATATATTTTTGCATGTGAAGTATCTTGCTATAATGTACGTAAATTATGAAAGAAATGAAGCACTTACTACTTAGATCTGTTACGAGACATTTTGACCATTCAACCAGGGAAATATTTTTATCATGATCAAAATCGCAATGTCTAACAAACGTTTTGGCACACTGGCGAGGTTCAATTATTTTCTTCGCCATTCGACGAAGATCTCGAACTTCTCTTCTTTTGAGTACATCGTCTTTGTTCGTGTCCAGTTGATCAAACTTCCATCTGATGACCCGTTGGGTTTCTTGGTTAAGTAGCAACCCTAAAAATAAAAAAATAAACGCAATACATTTGAGGAAAAAAATTAAACAAAACATCAAGTATTCGTGAATCTTTTGAATGAAATGAATAATGAAATAAACAATTTATCTTAAGTTATGTGGTGAAGTGTAGCCCGTTTTAAAAATTACAGGTACTTGGCAAGTAAGTCCCATTCCTAATGGTTAATCCATAATATTTCACAATAGGTAAAACAACACAGTCACAATTTAATTGTTCACCTGTCCGTATCTTAAGTCCCGGCATATTTGACCATCATTTCGAAGATGAGCTCTCACAGACTGCCACCACAACCTAATAATTAATTGGGTCTATTCGACAAGTTTCCAGTGTTAAGGGGCTTTACATCAATCAAAAGTATGTCCTTGGAATGATTTTCTGTTTGCGGTAAAAGTCACTATGGATAAATTGCAAAGATGGCTGTTTCTTGCCCTTTTTGTCACAATCACATATTTTTAACTACTGAACATTCTTAGGTGTTATGCTATTTAACAGCTAAATTCATTCATTAGTTAGCTTGGCCGCGTATTTTGTTTTACCCACCATCAACCGCCAAGTTGAACAAAAAACGCGGCCTGACTAACTAATGAGTGAATATTTGCTGTAAAATTATTATCAATGCTGTAAGTGTAGCTACCAGTTTGGCCGCCAATTTTGATTTCTTTCCTGCAAGTCGTACACTGAATGCTTTTTTTTTTGTTTTTTTTGCAGCACCTTTTTTCACACCCAAGGTGTTTTTGGTTAGATTAAATATAACGTGATTGTTTGTTTGTTTTGGATTTCGCGCAAAGCTACACGAGGGCTATCTGCGCTAGCCATTCCTAATTTAGCAGTGTAAGACTAGACGGGGACGGTTCCAGCTTTAAATAAAACATTATTGGGACGGTTCTAACTTTAAATAAAATTTTATTAATTTTATCCTTATGAGAGGATTAATGTTGTAATGTAGAACACCATCTCACAAGAATAAAAATATTGTTATAAAATGAAATTAACATTATATATACTAGCAGAAACACCGCCGTATGGGCGGCTGTTTGTACTAGTAATTACTAATCCTAGTAATCATACCTCATTGAAAAAAATTAGAAAAAGTGAGCATTTTATTAAAAAAAAAAAAAACGGATTTTTTTTGGGGGGGGGGTCAAAAATAAACGGAAAAACTTTCGAATTGTGCTCTTTAGTCATACGCAACCCATTGCATCAAAATTATTCAATGTACAGAACTCAAACTTTTCATATAAATTGTAATGTTTTTATATACTAAAAGTGGTACCCTTTATTGAAAAAATAATAATTTTTTAAAGAACTCCAGTTTCTCATTACTACATTTACAAATTACATCAATAGAGATATAATCAAACCCTCACATACAGTCCTAGTAAGAGTCGTGTTCTTATTGTGAGGAGAGTACTTTTATTTAAAATTATGTTCTATTATAAAGAAATCGTTGTTGCACATACCAATTATGTGTAACATGTGTAATTATGTTGTTTTTCTAACTGTCTGAATCTTGAAGTGTGAAATTTTTTAAGAATTTTTGTTTGTGGTGCCATTCAATAGATGGCGCAGAAGTTTTGGTTACATACATAGATACTGACATACACGCTGCATCCATTATAGTAAGATACGAGACATAAATCAAGCATTATTATGTTGTTGTTTTTCAAGTATATAGCAATGTAGTTTCTTTCATTAATTACTTCTTGTATTTTTTTTTCAATATAAACACGATATATGTCACACATTATTACTTCTTGTATTTTTTTAACAATATAAACACGATATATATCACACAAGAACTGAAAAAAGAAAGACAAGTGTAGTCGACACGAACATTTATGTCATAGCTAAAATTAATTCCAGTATTATATCCTACACTGGTGTTGTTCATGTCTTCATTTTGCTGTAATAGACAACTAAAAATGTAAACAAGTTACTTAACATTTAAGTAGTTATTATTACGAGGTCATCCAACTGGTTAAGAATGTATTTATAGACACAGAGAACTTATCTTAACTAAAACTGATCACAAACATGATCACTTTATAGCAATTGTTAAGAAAATGAGTATTTTTAAATACACTTTTTCACATAATACTAATTCTTTGTTAATGTTAGAAATTGGATCAACATTTGATAATTTGCTTTAGAGGGTTGTGTTGGAAGCCACCAGTGAAAATTAGATGAAAAATTAGCTCGGAATTTCAAAAATATTAATAAGATGGGACAAAATAAGGTTTTAGAGGAAAAGCATTTCTTGACTGGACAATTTCTAGTCTGAGGTTACCAAGTTGTCAAAATAACGTGCAAGTATGAAAGCCTAGAGTTTAGGAAGGAATGTACAGTTTTCCCACGCCCTCCGAACGAGACCTGGAACTGTGAAGCAAACGTTCAAGAAGCACAGTCCAAATTTTGTTGACCTAACTGATAAAAAAAAAAAGTTTGTACTTTCAACACTGTTAATCACATGAACTTTAGCTGAACATGCCAAGGCTATAGTCAGCTGATCAGGCTAATTTACAACGAGTGACTGTTATATGAAAATCTCACCACAAAGCTGCTAAATTTTAATCCCTTTGAATTCTGGAAACCTTTTTTTTTATTAGTTTTTAACAGAGACTTTAATTTTTTTCCAAACCATGAGCTTAATCCCTAATCTTTGATTTTTGTTCAATGTTAATTTAATCTGAAGTTAACTAGAGCGATGTTCTTTCTTGGTCTACATTCCACAGCCAGTTAGAAAGTTGGAATTTTTCAAAGAAATGTTATTGGCAAAGTCTAAAGTTGTTTAGTGACGTGTAAGTGTGAAAGAACAGAAAACATTTATGTTGCACTAACTGGTCTGACATTTCATCTCTGTTTTATGCTAAAAAAATTAATTGGCCGTTAGATGTCGTTAACCTTTCAGTTTCCATGCTTTTAGCATCTTGTTTTTTTTTTAAGCGCAAAGCTACACAATGAGCTATCTGCGCTTTGTCCACTGAAGAAAACCCTGGATATTAACTTTGTAAGTCTGTAAATGAACCATTGACCCATCAGGGTAGTTTAGCTTATTTAAATTTCTCACTGAGAGCAAACTGAAATTTGTTCTAAATGTCTATTTTAGACAGCGACACCAACTAATTTGGAAAAGAAACAAAAACAAATTTGCAGAAATTTACCGATAATTTTTATAGCATAATAATACTGGAATAAAACTGATTAATTATATTACGAAAAAGAACACACAGATTTGTAATCTCAACAGAACAATGGTACGTAAATGGGTAACACAGACTAATGCAGACAGTAGAGTATAAGATTTCTCTATCTCACAAAAATAACGTAAGGAAAATATATATTGACACGAACATTCGAAAACTTCATAATGTGGAATGCAAAGAATGTTAGTTATTATACTTGTTCCAATAGTTGTGGTGATGTAACAAAGAATAGTACATGGCAGAATAGATCAGGATGTAACAGAGAATAGTACATGGCAGAATAGATCAGGATGTAACAAAGAATAATGCAAGGCAGAAAAAATCAGGATGTAACAAAAACAATACATGGCAGAAAAGATCAGGATGTAACAAAGAAAAATGCATGGCAGAAAAAATCAGGATGTAACAAAAATAATACATGGCAGAAAAGATCAGGATGTAACAAAGAATAATACATGGCAGAAAAGATAAGGATGTAAGAAAAATAATATATGGCAGAAAATATCAGGACATAACAAAGAATAATACATGGCAGAAAATATCAGGACGAAACAAAGAATAATACATGGCAAAATAAATCAGAAGGCTTTGTAATTATGACTGTTTTAATTAAGTGCATTCTACGATTATGAGTGTATTTGAACAAAATATTCAATACATCCTTTTAACAATACAAAAGGTTTACTATATATATACATTACTGAAATAGAGAAAATGCAGTTAACATGTTGCATGAGTATGGCAACAACCATATGGAAAACATTCTCAGAATACATTCATTTGATACGCTATAGCTCATGACAAAAATGTTGTTCATCTTTCAGTTCTCTCAGCAAGGTAGAAGTCCTATTTTTCTTGTTTGAAGTAATTCATTTTTTGAGAATAAGAAATTAAGAGAAATATTGTACATATATATCGGATCTTTCACCCAATTTTCTGCATTCAATAATAATTCGTACAGTATGTATAATTACCAACAAAGTATCCATTCTTGTTGCACTAAAATCACCAAAGCTTTGAAAAAAAAATCATTTTTAAACCTAACATATTTCCATAATCACTGTATTTTTATGCAGATCCTAAATCAATAGAAAATCCAGTTTGTATATTTGTTTTAGAGCAAAGCCACAACGAACTATCTCCTGTGTTCACCGCAGGGTATAGAACTCTGGATTTTAGCGTTTTAAGTCCGTATACTTATCGCTGTTCCACCGGGGAGACGTAAAATACAGATTTATTACTGTTAAACATATGAACTTTTAATCTATTAATATATAAGATTTAAAGATGATGGTCGTAAATTTCACAAATTCTGTATATTGAATAACAATAATCAGTTTTACATGATTCAGAAACTTTAAATAATTTTTTTAAGTGCTATTTCAGTAGAAATAATGATTTTACAGTCAGTTGTAGTAAACTCTGTTTGGATGATCTAATTAAAGTATTGAATTTTATAGTTGATTCATTTATTGATAAACGCATTGACTTTCCTAATTGGAAAATCTTAACACTGAAAATTTATAAATATTATTATTATTATTATTTGTAATTATAACAACTCTATTATTATTAATCATAGAGTTTACCAATAGGTTGTTGTCATCCCTCTTGATGGTAACTGATAATTACATCTCTATGGAAGATCATGCTTTAAAACAATTAAACAAACAAATACACTGATCACTTAATTATCTTGCAGAAATAGGGGCTACTAAATATTTCACTTCCATTATCTAGCTGAATTAAAAATAGCAAATATTATACTATTCTATTCTATACTGTACTATACTATTCTATTCTATACTGTACTATACTATTCTATTGTATACTGTATTATACTATTCTATTCTATACTGTACTATACTATTCTATTGTATACTGTATTATACTGTTCTATTCTATACTGTATTATACTGTTCTATTCTATATTGTACTATACTATTCTATTCCATACTGTACTATACTATTCTATACTATACTGTGCTATACTATTCTATTATATATTGTACTATTCTATACTATACTGTACTATACTATTCTATTCTATACTGTACTATACTATTCTATTCTATACTGTATTATACTATTCTATTCTATACTGTACTATACTATTCTATTGTATACTGTATTATTCTATTCTATTCTATACTGTACTATACTATTCTATACTGTACTGTACTATTCTATTCTATACTGTACTATTCTATACTGTACTATTCGATTCTATTTTATACTGTACTATACTATTCTATTCTATACTGTACTATACTATTCTATTCTATACTGTACTATACTATACTATTCTATTCTATACTATATTATTCTATTCTATACTATATTATTCTATTCTATAATGTACTATATTATTCTATTCTATAATGTACTATATTATTCTATTCTATACTGTACTATACTA